AACCTCACACCAGGGTGCATGCACCCCCAAAGCCCCAGATGTACTTATCAATCTGTATTCTTTAGATCCATAGGATTCTGCGCAGCTATTTATAGGGGAACATTAGAGAAGTGGGAGTGTGCAGGATGAGGACACGAGGCTCTGTGAGGCCTCCTTCAACTGAAATAACACTACTTTTATCTGTTTTACGTATTTTTGTGTTTATAGGTCTTATGGAAAAGGCTTCAAGGCTTTAAACAAATTTTTTAAAAACCATATGGTATAAGTTCTTCATTTTACATACGAAGCAAGTGAGGCCCATTGCAGTCCAAAGAGTTTGCTAAAATCACAGTCGTACTAAGGTAGACACAGGTCTTAGAGTTGGCTCAGCAATAAATATATGCTGACTTCTCAATGAACTGCACCGTCTTCTGTCTGAGCCCCTAAGACGTGACACGTATCCTTAGAGGCTGAGTTCTCAGAGATGATCTAGGAATTTCCCAGCAGCCAGGGTCAGCCACACAAAAGTACATTTTCCTCCTGTGGTAAAAGAAGACTTCTGCTTGGGCTCACTGTGGGGCAGGGACCTCTGGTGTGCAGCGTTATTTTAGATGTTGTCTGCTGAAGGCTCTTGGCCCTGCTTCCTTCTCCTCCCTAGGGCCTCAGCAGAGAAGCTCAAAGGCAGGTGAATCACCTTAGCCAAGGGTTTCTGTTTGGAAAACAGCAGTCTGCTGTGCCTTGGATGGGCAGGCGGGCTACATTCCCCAACGGCACATGGGGGTCACTTAGCCTGGGCGATGCTTCAAGCCTGGGTTCACAGTCACCCCATGTCCAGGGTCCTGAATGGGGGTCTTCTGCACTCTGGGGACTCAGCTTACTTACTGACGGGAGAGAAAAGTTAAAGCCTCCCTCATCCCACATAGGATAATCAAGAGTGGAAAATATTACCGTTGTTGTTTATGAAACCCTCCTAATCCTCAGCAACCTTGAATTTGGATTTCTGATGTAACCTCTAAACAAAGTTATTGATACCGTCATAAAGAAAGAAAGTGTTGGTGAGGAACCTTATGTGATTTATAGCAAGCCAGATGTTTAGAAAGACATAGGAGGACCGACAATTTAATTTCCTCCATTGAATAAAAGAAGATTTTCTGTGATAAGTGAACAATGAACTGAAATCAGCTGAGGATCTCACCTTCCTACGAAGATTCCCATGATCACAAAGAAGAGAGCCATGGTGGGCACGTCTCCCTGTGTCACAGCCCCTCACCTGCCTCTGCCTGCAGAATGTGGCACTCAGAGGAGTCTTCTACTAGGAACAGGGAA